TGGGTCCTTTGGATTCACCGTTGGGGATTTAATTGAATTAGGATGGGCTTAGTTGTTGCCGCCTCTTTTTTTTATATATATAATAATCTATTTGTGTGCTTAATTATAAGTATATATGGCTGAATTTCACAAAGGCCCCCTGAAACTTGGGGTAATGCAGCTAAACCTTGCGGGGTTTAACAAAAGTCCCCTAACTTTCAACGCTGTAACAAATTCAGTTCTAGGATTTGTCAGGAAGAAGGTGTTGTTGATCTCAGTCAGTTAATTAGGAGGATAATGATGGCTCCGGAGGAGAGTCTAGGGTCCATTTATCTTCTTTGATAGCTGATTGACTGCAAACAAAAAATCCGGAGGAGTCGGTTATACTGATTAAATGGTGCAAATATTGAATTTATTTTTTTGAGTATTCTATAGCCAAGATTGCTCTTAACTTATTCATGCAGAAGAAATCATGCCTATTTATAGGAAGTCGAGGAATGGTAATTCAATCGGGTCTGTGCAGGCGGTTGATCAAATAGTGGTTTATATGTGTCGGCCACCAAGCAAGTTGAGTCATTCTTGCTTTTAGTGCAACAGTGATATGGTGATGAAGTGCTGGTGTCGTCCAATGAGTCATTATGACTTTGGCAGAGGGGCCATAATGACCATGACCATGCATTAAATGTGATGACAACTGGGCTATGTAGCTAAGAACAGCGAAGTTGATAGGTCAATTCATCGTTCGAGACATTCTATAGTGAAGTCAAGTGAAAGACGCCATTCGTCTCGGAATTCTCAAGTTTTTGAACAGATCCTGGTCTGAAGGCACTTTTCTTCTCGGGTTCGGGTCATAAGACTGACCTGAAGACCCTTTTATCTCAAATCTACACCTCTGAAAGTTGGTCGGCTTTGTGCATATCCGAATCGGGTTCTTAAATTTGAGGAAGGTAGGCCAATTAAACATGACACGTGACCGCCTTATAGGGGTCTATTATATTTAGTAATTTTCAGGTACAACAATAGTATTAAGGGAAATTGAAGGGAAACTTTTTTTGCTATGGTTTTATTACAAAGAAGGTTATTTTTTTAAAAGGGTTATTTCAATATGTGGAAATTTTTGGAAATACACGAGATTTTGTGAAAGTTCCACAAATTTTAGGTTGGTTTTATCTAATTTTCGGGGCAAGGGGCTTTATGCAACTACCCCAAAGTTAACAGGGTTTTTGAGAAATTTACCCGTCAAGTTATCTAAATCTATCAGAGTCTATTGGTAATGGTGACAGATTGTCCCGAGCTTTTTGGCTAGCAAAATAACAATGTATGTGACAAAGAGGGGTGATATTATTGTGCTATTGTTTTACTTAATTTTTAGAGAGCAAAAAGATGGGATATTCCATGTTGTTTTGTTAGTCAATAATAAAAAAATAATTTAAGTGAAAAAGCTCAACATGGAACTAGATATTAAATGAAGACAGCTCCGATAATAATGGGAAAAAAAAGTTGATTCTTCAGAGGGATCTTTGTTATTGAAATCATCATAGGCTATCTGTACATTATAATTGATGATAGAAACAATACATATTGACGCAAAAGGAGCGCACCATGCTGATTTTGTAGTAGTATTTTATAATGTCATTTTTTTATCCTTGGATAATATAGATATGAATATGATAGTACGTAATACGAACATAACAAATAAATATATTTCAAGTACACCAAACATTGTATTAAACAATCTCGGTTACTAAAATGATCTCACATATATTTTCGAAAATTTTACATATATTGTTGATTATAAAATGTGAGAAAATAATGAGGCAACCATATATATTTTCTCCTTATGCACTAGGCTACTAGCATCAAAACATTGTCTTTGAAATGCATGACAAAATTGATTAGGGTGGCAAACTGATCGAGGATTGAAAGTTCACATGACTTTGTAAAAGGGTTGGCAATTAATTAATGGAGGCTGAAAATATGTGAGGCCCTAATCTTTTCCGTGCACGACGATCAGCAATTTCAAATCCTAAAGCTTTAACGATCACTATCCGTAACTAGATGCACCAAAATCTTTTAATTGCGTGTTTATAAAGGAACACTCCCAATGCGATTGCAACGCATCAAGTGAGATATGGGATTAGTTAAGGTGGGCACTGAGATGATTGAGATTTGGAAAGAGTCACAAGCTCATTAATTGTCCACGTGTGTGGGAGAGAATTTTTTAACTAGATATTGTAGCTTTTAGCTGTTTTCAGGAAAAAAAACGCCAAGATCGATAAGTTGGTGTCGGTGTTAGATGCGGATACAAACGTGACCCACGGTCATGAGGAGGCAACTGGCTCTGCGGTTAATCAGGCGCCTGCATGTTGACCAGAACTGGTCAGCATTCTAATTGTATCCGGATTCAGACCTAAGTTCCACTTCTGGCTTGGCTGGGGTTTGGGGAAGAGCTTGAGGAAACTATGTAGATTCACCACCACTTGCAATTTTGTTCACTGGGAAAGCAAACGTAGCAACTTAGGTTGTAGCTGTGAAAGAATCCAAATGCGTTGAAAATATATATGAAGGTAAAAATATTTCTACAAATTAATTAAAGTGCGGTTCGCATATAATGAAAAATAAACTGATCCGTATGTAGAAAAGTATTGGTGGCCGTTAGAGATGTGTCGAAATTGTGAGTACGTACTATAGTGTACTTCACCTTCTCCAGTGGAGCACATGCACGTCCCTCCATCTTCATCTACTTACCATGCATCTTCTTGAAAACTAGAAAGTAGGAAATGAGATGACCTTTTCACTTCTCAACGAGCCGTGCTAGCCACAGCTACAAGCACCCTTCACTTGCGCTGTGGCTAAAATGGGACATGTCCTAGTCACATTTTGCGACTGGTAACCACTGGTGAGTAGTGACTATCACTAGCAGTGCTTCTAAATAATCCTGAATGAAAAATATGGGAAGAAACCGCGATGAATTTTGGTAAAGAACAGGTTTTGAAAGCGTAGGAGTCTGTTTGGGAGCTGTGCGGTCGACCGCGAACATGCACAAGCCAGAGTAGGAGTCTGGATTTGGGGCGGTCGACCGCCGCAGTCGACCGTGAGACCCTGTAGGACTTTTTGGTCTCTGTCGCTGGATCGCGGTCGACCGCGAGCTTTGGAATCGGGTCAAAACCCAGTTTTGGTTTCCTGTTCTTATTTGGTTTTGATGTTTGTATAAATACCAATACACGTTCTAGGGTTTCTTAAGGCAAGAGTTTGGGATATTTGGAGATAAATACCAATACACGTTCTAGGGTTTCTTAAGGCAAGAGTTTGGGATATTTGGAGCACAGAAAAGAGTTATTTTCTGAGTTATTTGATTTTGGTTGGTTTTGGCCCTCTTTGATCAACGTTTGGTTTGTTTCCTTCATACGGTTTTCAACAATTGGTATTAGAACACAACAATATGTGCTGATCTCTAGGTCCTTTTCTTCCTCTCTTTCAATCTCAAATTAAACAAACCGTGGTTTTGCTTTTAGTTAATGTATCTAGATCATGATTATACTATGGTAGATTCAGAATTCCTAGTCCTAATTAGCGAAAAATAGATCTGGATATTCTCCACTATCAAGACTAATGGGGTAATCACTGTCTAATTTAACTGGTAGACTATTTTATTATTGGGAAAAATGCTTCCAGCCCCAAAAAAGCTAAGGAAACGTGCTTCTCACCCCCCCAAGACTTTGTCAACTAGTGTTTTACCCCCAAAAATAAAGATTTTGTTCTCTGAGCCCCAAAAACACAAAACCCAAGAGATTAAAATATGTAAAAACCATAATACCATTCTCTCTCTTTTTTTTATTATTAAAATATGATGAGGATTATTTTATTTTTTTGTTTTCTCTCTCTCTCTTTATCATGATGTACCGAGATGATAGTTGAAATGATTGATGAAGATTATTTTATTATTTTTATTGTTTGTATTGGGAGATTGTTAAAGTTACGGGTTAATTGTTAAGGTTACGAGTTAATTGTTTGCTTTCTATCCTAAAGGAAATTGCTTCTTTCCTTTCTCATCTGCACCCTCTCGACTCTCCCTCTCAAATTTTTTTTCTACCATCTACCTAGAGCGAACGAAACTCGGTGCATCGCATTACGATAGGTTTAAAACTCGGTGCTAGTAACCAGAGTTTCGAGCTTAAAATTAAAGCCAAACAAAGCAATATTTGTTCTTTTCCATTTACATTTTCAAATCTTTCTAAATTATTGCAAGAAAACATATATCTATGTTATTGTGTAATTTAGCGACTCAGCCACCACATTTGTAATAGATGTTTCATATAAATATTATTAATTTGTTAACGATTAAACAAGTTAATAGAGTTAGGGTGTATAAATTAGAAATGTGAAGACTGAGGGTCTGATATAAAATTAAGAAAAATTTAGGATCTAATATGATAAAAACTAAAAGTTTTGCTGGATTTTGCTATCTATGAGTTCAGCACGTGAATAAAAGGAAGCAAAATTCTAGTTGAAAGCACAAGAGCAAAACCACGTATTGTGCTAAATTGAAATTAGTTAGTTGGAGAACTCTAACTAATCATAAATTCGGTTTCTCTCCTAAATTGTATTTCCTAAAATAACCTTTTAACCTTAGTTAATTACAATTTTAGGTGTGGAACACCTCCTAACCGCTAAATCTATCTATCTAGAAATGTGAGAGCTATTTTTAAGGAATTTATTTACAGATACGCCACCGATGCTCCAACAATTCTTCATGGAGCACCGAAGCTGTAGGCTATTTTAAAAACCTATGCTACAGTATATATTTTTTTACATGTTCCCGTGATAACTTATATATATATTTTTAAAATGTTACAGTAAATTATTATATCATTTACCGTAGATTATAGCCGCCTCCCACAATTATAGTTTATAGAGGAATAGATGTAATTTGAATGGAGTTTTTCAAATCTCAGCGACTTACCCTCCAAAACGAACGAACGAACGACCTCACCCCCAAGAATGAACGCCTCACCTCTCGCCTCCAACTCACCCGCGCAAGTCCTGGGCCGCCGTGATCCTAGGACACTCCTCACGGCACCTCCCTCCCTCTCTTTCCGGGCTTCTCGGCCTCCCCCTCCTCCAGATCCTGTCCTCCTTGACCCTCCCTCTCCTCCCCCCCTCGGGCTCCTCGGCCGCCAGCCCCTCGCTCCGCGCCGCCACCGCTCCCCCTCAAGCCCGCGCCCTCCCTACTCGTGGCCCAGCCCACCGGGACCCTCGCAGGGACACTCCGCGTCCGTCTCGCCTCCCTCCGCTTCTACTCTGGCCCACCACTGCGGATTCACGGCCCTTTCGACCTCGCTGGCCGCGCAATGGCGGCGCCGATCGCCCGTGCCAACACCTCCCGGCCCTCTGTGAGCTTCTTGAGGCTGAACGCCGCGCGTCGTGACCCCCGGCCAGGTATCCGACGGTCATCAAGGTGCCTCGCGAAGAGGGCTCGCTAAAGAGCGCTAGCCGGCGTTAACCGAATGCGTCAGCTGCACTGTAAGCCCGACGTCCGGTGCCACAACACCGTGGTCTCTGCCCTGTGCCGTGCCGGGGATTTCAAAAAGGCGAGGTTCTTGCTGAACCAGATGGAGCTCCCGGGTGCGAGATGCCCGCCCGATCCGTACACTTACACGATTTTCATCGGGTTCTACTGTAAGATGAGCTTGCAGACCGGGTGCAAGAAGGCGATCAGGCGGAGGATTTGGGAGGCGAATCGTATGTTTCGGCATATGCTGTTCAAAGGGTTCGAGCCCGATGTTGTTACCTACAATTGCTTGATTGATGGGTTGTGTAAGAGTTATAGGATCGAGCGTGCCCGTGAACTGTTTGACGAAATGCTTGTGAGAGGGTGTTTGCCAAATAGGGTGACTTACAATTCCTTTGTCAGGTACTATAGTGTTGTTAATGAGGCTGACAAGGCTATAGAGATGATGAGGATGATGGTTTCTAAGGGGCATGGGGTTCCGACTTGTAGCTCCTATACTCCGGTTATACATTCATTGTGTGAGGCTGGGAGAGTGAGGGACGCAAGGGATCTTCTCGTGGAGATGGTTGATGGTGGGTCGACGCCGAGGGAGTTCACGTATAAATTGGTTTGTGATTCTTTGAGGAGGGAAGGTGAAGCGGGTTTGTCGATGGAGTTGCAAAGTAGAATTGAGGGTGATATGGATGCGAGATATAAGAGAGTTATGAAGGTGAAGCCTATAATGAGGGGAAGAAAAATATTTATTGAACAAGATACACGACTTTAAATGCATGTTGCTGACAATTTAGTTACTGCCATCTGATTTGTGACTCGTTTTTTCACCCTGGCTGCTTTGTATTACGTTATCTTCTAAAATAAACTTGATAAGGCCATTGAGATGAAGAAGAAGATGATGATGAGTTTCGAGGATCCACAGAGTGGTCTTTAGTTCTTTTCTGATCATTTCACTTGTAAGTGAGACTAGAAGTCTGAGAGGAGCACATTTTTCTTATGGAGATACTCGATGAGCAGAAATAGCCCGATAGAGCTTTTAGAAGCTGGTTTTCATTACAGTAACTGGAAAAGTTTCGCATGATCTGTGAAGAAAATAGAGGGATGCACATTCGTGTATAGGAATGTGATGGCTTCGACTAAGATGAAGTGGATTGTTTGTTTCAGTACACAGGTAGTTGGTTATGTTAGACGTATGATGTGATGCTCAGGTCTCTCACTAAGGCAATTTAGGCGAGCACTGCTACATGTATGTATCCTTAAATTCATATTCTTCTAAAACACAATTCTTTCTTCTGCATGTATGTCGTTCTGCGTAAAAGTAACCGAGTATGATAGTGTTCTAGGTTCATCATTCTTCTGACGGTTTTCATTACTTTGAACATGGGAGTTCTGGGTTCTTCATCTCTGTCTTCATTGTTTCAGTAATATCATATTTACTAACTGTCAGCTGATCACTCAATCAGGTGGATACTCTATAAATATAAATTGTACAGATCTTATCAGATTTCAATTATAGGGACTTGTAAAACCAGAAAATGTTAATGATGAAATTTGTGCTGTATAGATTTGGCAGATTTCAGTTTTAGGAATTTGTTAAACCGGCATATGGTAATGTTTGTGCTGTATAAACTTTGCATATTTTAATTTGAGGAATTTGTTAAACCATATTAATGGATAAATTGATTCCCAAATTGACAATTTAGGAATCTACAGATGGAGGTTCTCTCCTGAGACTAACTCAGTTCTCTTTCCTATCGATTGTATTCTAATGCTGCTAGCATATCATTCTAAAAATTACAATCAAAATTAGGATTTGTCTTGCTTCAAATATTTGACCTATTTCAATTGTATTTCACTGTTATGATATTATCTATTTCTTTCTTTTTTACATTTATTCATCATTCTTCTGTTTTGCATATTTTGATGTGGCATTTATTCATCATTCAGCACATCCATCATTATTGTGATTCAATCAACCATAGGATTTCATAGGAATCCTTAATTTTCATATGATCTAGTTTCACATTGGTATTTTTTTAATTAATTCTCATCATTTTTAGATATTTGCAGGTAAACCATCATTAGAACCAGCTATGTCAGGCACACATTTCAATTCAGTTGTCCCTACAGACAAATGAGTTTCTGCATTAGTTACATGGCCATCATGTTTCAATTGAAACTTGATCTTGGACTCATAAAGATTGTTAGCCCTCTATTTGGATCCCCTTATTATCCCGATATATCCATGGCAAGTTGTAGCACCTCCATTTACTAGATGTACCAGTTAGTTTCATTCATATAATTGAAAGATTTAATCCTTGTGCTGGTGATTAAAAATTTGAAGTTTCCTTAGAGTTGAAGGATAGTTCATAATTCATCTTCCTCGTTACTATTTTCTATAGTTCCGCTTCCATTTCCAATCACCTATTTTCCATTCAATTGTCCCTCTCTCTATGGCCTTGCTTATATATTGTCTGTGAAATTTCAAGATAAACGCGTTTGAAATTTGGTGTTTTCTTCTCTTGATCTAAAATATGAAATCAAATAAATGATTATGTATCCCTTCTACCTGAGTGATCTCTTCATTATATACTTAGCTTGTGATCTTCAGCTGCTCTTATTTTAAATATTGGCAGAACTTGAATTTGATTCCTTCCATTTGATTTTCCAGATGGAATGAGTCAGCAAATCATAGGAAAATGGCAACAACTAGATGCATAAGTATGAACAACTTCGTCTTTATGACATGTTCTAGTAGTCAGCCAACTTTTAACTCCTAGGAAGGATAATTTAAATAACTTTCTCTCAGCAGAAAATAACAACTAAAAAATGCACAGGAATATGAGAGGTTTAATTCGAAAGAACATTTCTATTGATATTATACATTACACACAGTCTGATCTTTGATGAAATAGCTAATCAAGATCAAAACGAAAAAATTGGAAAATTCAAGCTCAAAGGAGCAACAGTTGCATAATGTCTCACAGATACATATACACCCTCAACCTTTTCCTCCTTTTTCTCCATATATATTTTGAAAATTCTGTAATTAACAAAAAATCACCTTCATGCTTCATTGCTTTCAAAAGTACACAAGAATCAAATTAGACGGTCTCAAGGTTTCCAAGCTGCTGGCGGAGGAGGGGGTGTTGGAAACATTGGAGGCACTGCAGAGAAAATGGTGTTCTTATCGATTCCAGTCTTCACACCAGATAATGAAATCAATGCTGCGACTAAACCAGCATTTCCTGCAAGTGTCGGCTCTGTGTAGTTATAATTAGTACGAACATCATGGAACCTATCATGCTTGTCAGGTCCAGCAACCATTGCCCCTACAATGATGTTAGGGTTTGGCCTTTTGGTATCTCTCCACTTCCACCCTCCTTTACAATTATACTTGACTCCGTTCTTAGGAATTGATGCTCCACGATGGTGAACATGCTTGGGGTAGCGTTTACCGTATCCCACAACATAGCTCATCTTCTCAGGATTATCACCGAGAATGTAATTTATCTGGAAGAAGGTGATAACATTAATAATAATAATAACATAAGTCCAATGTCATTTTGTTGGTTAGTCAGCTAATTAGAATATGTTGAATAAAGCAAGACGGCAGTTGCTGAAATTTATTAATAAAAACTCTGAGCATTGGCAATGGAATGAGATTAGTAATCTCATGATGATCAGTTAACCCACAATGTAAGCTATAGCTCAGACATTAAAATCAATATATATATGTTATTAAGATAAGGGTTTCAGATTGCTTCATGGGATGGGGAAAAACCCCCCATTTTCTCTTTTTTTCTATACCAGTAGTGTTCTCCTTTATGATTGATCAATGTTGAAATCTTGAAATGGGTCGTTGTTTCTTTTTTATCTTTATTAGTGTCTAGATAATGTGAGATCTGAGTATACCTGAAACAATGAATTCAATCACAAAGTTCTCTGTTAATGATTTTCCCCTTATTTCATTAGCAGATTAATTTGTGATGCATTGAATCTCGCTGTACTAGTCAGTATTGGTTAATATGGATCTGCATTTATTGTATTAACCAATATTAGCCATATCAGCTGGTTTCAGCCACATTGGACCACTAATGCTTGAAATCCTATATGCTACCGGTAATACATAACTCATAGTAGATGATGATTCAAACCTTGTTATCATGTGCATAACATAAGCTACTAGAAGGCAATTTTTTGCATATCTTTTGTTGTTACAATTTTGGTATCAGTAAATTCTTTTTTTTGAAATGTCTATGCAAAAACTGTTTAATGACTACACTGGATTTCTATACCACAACAAGAGAGAATATTTACCTGTTTCCTAGCAAAATTACGCAGGACATCAGTCGAGTAGAAAGTTGGTCCACAATACCATCCTGGTGTATCCGCTTCATCAAGATAATCGCTGAATAGTGAAGCTAGAAATGCTGCATTTGCCACATACTGAAGGGGCTGTGGTCTTCCATGATTCAATTGTATCAAGCCCCCTGAAAGAGAATCCAATAATGAGATAATAAATTTTTTAAGCTTCTCTGCACTCACAGTAAAGAGAATCCTGTCATACCCTTTGTACGGTTGAAAGATGTATACATCGGTAAGAATGAGCACATGACAAGACTTGTTTGGTTGTGGAAAGTCCTCAATATTTCTTCATAAGGATACCCAGGGCTCAAGAACAATCTCAGCCTACTGAGAAGAACCTGAAGTTTGACGGCGAAGGTATGAGATTAAGCTAGAAGTGGAAGTATTACATTGAACTGTTTTATTCTCAGTTTAACTTTTCAGATTTTTATACTATTACTTATTAGCTTTTACAAAATTTACATTGCTCCTTGTCTGGTGTATTTCAGCACTTGTAAATTATTCATTAGAACAGTAGTTTTCCTCCAAAAAAACTTGGTTTCAGTCTCTTCTATCATTCACGTTGTTCACTGGAAATTCAACGCTAATTGAAATTTTTTAATAAGTAGCTTTGCCCAGTGAACGGAGGCTAGTGTTTCCAACCATGATGTTGGCTGGTGTGTCGTTAACGTGGCATATACCCGGACCACTACAGTCCAGATCATAAACATGCGTAGATCATAATTAGATGATTTGAATATGCACCACATTAGCAACAAACTAGCCAGCACCACACACACACACACACCAATGCCCGTTTATGTCACTTTGCTAGAGCTCGATTAACAACTTGAAACTTACCTGAGCACCAATGAGCTTGTTGTCCCAGCTGAAAACACCATAATCAGAACCACCCCAGAATGCACCGGCATGCTTAGCAATGCCAGGATTCGTCACCAGCTGAAGGTACGATGAATTCCCTGTCGCATAGTACAGCCACGCGCCTCCCCATACAAACTCATCATAGTAATTCGTCGAATTGTAAAATAGTGAAGGGTCAGAGCCTCCCGGGCTGTACCTGCCCCTTTGGTCTCTGCCGAACTTGAATAGCGTCTTTGCTCCATGCACGAGCTTCTCAGAGTAAGTCTTGCTGTCCTTGAAAACTATGGAGGCGGAGGCAAGAGCAGCAGTCATCTCTGCTGCGAGGTCTGAGCAGCTGTGGCATTCGTAGACAGGGCGAGGATAGTTAATATCTTCGGGTCTCATCCAGCAGTAGTGATCATTGGGGTTCGTGGCCTTCGTAGTGTCTCCTTGTCCAACCTGTAGAGAAAATTTGGGCAGGAAATGTTTCCGTAAGCTGATGGTTTCGGAAATGGAAGGAACGGAGCATGATCTGAGCTGAACAAGAGGATAGCTTGTTGTGACTGATTGAATTTTACGATGTGCACTACATTGTTATCTACAAGAAAGTATACAGTGAATCTGATTTATATACAACTTCAATGATGCGCCAAAGATGTATCCGATCTGTGACATAAATACCTGAGCGGCAATCCTGTCGATGGTATCGGCAGAGGAATTGAAGGTCTTGAGCAGATAATCTGTACCCCACTTGATGATATCCTTAACGTGTCCCAGCTCTCCCGCCGCCTCGTACTTCTCCCTGTATTCGATGACGCTCCAGCTAAGAAGCGTCATCGAGAATGACATCGGGAAGTTGAACTTGATGGCGTCGCCGGCATCATAGTAACCGCCGACCAAGTTCTTCTTCACCGAGTCATCAGAGAGACCGTCTCTCATTCCTGAGTTCCCCCTCCACCTTATCGTGTTGTGCTTTCCCATTGGCCCGGCTGCAGGGGGGAGAACAACCAGTTAGTTAGGTTCACCGGAGGCGGGGACCGGATTCACACGTAGGAGTTTAGAGGTTGTTTGGTTGTTTTCGGTAAATTGCTCGGAAAGTTACAGTAGCTTGAGACGGTACATCTGACTAGGACTGATAAGCTATAGTAATTCCAACCAAAAACAGCTCAAAATGGAGTTTGAATTGTTCAGAGGTTACCGCATCAGCTTTTGGAATACCACTACCCCCTTGATTTGTGTCAACCAAACACCGTAAAGCAAGAAAAGTTACAGCAACTTTCCTTGCTTTTTTCTTGAAAAAAACACAAGCAACCAAACAGCCCCTTACTCTATTCTTCGAATCAAATTTTTAAGAAATAGAACTTCACTGTTTGGTTGTTGTTACAAAATTTAAGAATAATTCAATTGCGAAAGGTAACAATTTAAAACAGTCTTTACATGTGATTCTGAGGGGAAACCAGATCTACTATGATCATTAAAAATCTCAAAAGGAAAAAAATACTTTCCCTAGAAGAATAAGCACTGTTATGAAAGGTTGAGTTCTGATCTTGTTCTAAATTTATCCATAATTCAAACATTGAAGAGGATCCTGGTGCCAAAAGAGAATGAGATGCTAATCAATAATTGCTAAACATCCATTTATTTAAATACAAGAAACATCTAATTATTTATATTGCTGTATCGTGAGAGATCTATGTTGATAGTGATTTCAACATTCATTTCCAGAAACAACTTAATTCAATGAATATTGGATATGGCAAACCTCATTGAAGAATAAATTCAATGGGTACATTACGGCCATTAACAATATTCATCTTTATTTAAAAAAACAATAATTGATAGATGATAGTTATAAAAAATACAATAACCACAGGCGTGGCTAAGGGGCACACTCCATTGCAAGCTTACCAATTCAGTTAGACCCCCTTGGGTATTTACTAAAGATATATAATTGCATGGAATTAGAGGAAAAGTAATTAAAGAATGAATTTATTTAAAAAAAAGTCAATAGTATTCAAATAAATAAATAATTTAATGGTATTAAATTATTAAATTTAAATTGCATAACGGCGTACAAATTGTGTGAAAACCCCAAAAATTTTAAACAAAATTTATTTCATTTCACATGCATTATGCGTGCTAAGAAATCTTGCTTCATTGATCAAGTCAAACGCTCCCGCCGTCCGCATCAACCAAACTAGCACCGGGACCACTCAACAAAATTTTATTTACAGAAACAACCCGATCCCAAAGCTCAGAGGAGAAACTTACATCGCTGAGCGTTGAAGAACATGAGAGCTTTTCTCAGAGCCTGCGTATAATCATCCAACGGCGGAGGCGGCCTATGATGGTGAGGCACCGTCTTTATGATCAGCATTATAAGCCCAACAAGAAGTCCGACTCCGAGAACAGTTCCGAGCGTCCACATGAACAACTTCCGGCTAACCACGACACAACCGAGATCGACGTAGCGTTTCTTCTTCTTGCCAGTGTCGCCGGGCCCAGCCAAGAGCCAGCTTTGTTGGGTTTCATCGAGCTGTCGAGAGAGCGCGGCCCTGTCGAGGTCCTGGAGGTTGCGGCTCCGGTCGTCGTCGGTGGCGGAGTCGGCATTGGAGATTTCTAATGGGCCTCCCCATGGATCCCTTCCAAACATTTTTTCCCTTTTTTTTTGGGTATTTAATTTCTTCTTCTTCTTCTTCCTCCTCCTTTGTGGAATGAGGGAGCAAGTGGAAGTGAGGGATGGGGGGGGTGGGGGTTACTTAGTTTGATTGGAGTTTTATGGCTCGGAGCTTGTTTCTTTCTTTATTTACATCTTGTGCATTGGTGGGTCGGGTGGTGTGGGCCCTCTTTGTGTAGAGTGAGGTGGGCAATCCATTTCACGTACTCACTACTACAGAAATGATTCATGCACCCTGTTTGTATTGCACCCTCTTGTTGTGTGTAAAGTACTCGGGATCCTAAGTTTCACCACAACATCCCGGGTTAGACTCGTCGTAATTTCCGAAAATAAATCCATAAATATAGATACATCTTTATGAATCCAGGGTTTGTCCCTATGAAAAGACGCTCTGTTGTGCGCGGCGGAAGTCAAAACCAAACCGACGTGCTTCGAGAGACCAAATCAAACAAACGTCGAGAGAAGGCCAAACACAATTAAAATAACGGTACGAACACAAACAACCAATTCTAACGTGGTTCGGCAAGTTACTTACGTCCACAGGGCAAGAATGGGATGAGGTTTTCACTAATAGAGAAGAAGAGTACAGATCACTACAACTCACTAATTAATCTCCCCAACAAATCTCTAATTTTCTCCAAATAAAACCCTAACCAATAGCTCAGAAAATACATCTTTTCTGTGCTCTAAATATCCCCAATTCGCTGCTTTATTCTCTCTTCCAATCGTTCCATATACATAGAAATCCTAAAACCAAAAACATACTAGGAATTCTAAAACAAAAAATAAAACAAATTAGGAATCCTAATAACATGTTACCAAAATAGATTTGAAATCCTGTTACCAAAACAGATTAGTAATCATATTAGGAACCTGCTATCCAACACGCTCAACTTACGATTAGTAAAAATTTAAAATTATGACTGTCAATTCTCACTGATTTTAAAGTTTCCGCAAAAAACTGTAGGAATTAACCTTCTAACTTTTGACTTTAGTAGTTTTCTTTTGATCTTTTTTCAACAATATGATTCATAGTTTTATATAAATGGTACAAATGGCAGAATCAAAGCGCTTTGTCGACTTTTAAGGCTAATAAAGCACTCATAGGTCGATTTTATAAGATCTTAAACGTTGATATAATGAGTTAATCTCGTGTACTAAAGTGATCTAGATGAGTGCTAAAGGATCTTATCTCATGAGATTTGGGAATTTAATTAGCATGACTAGACCGAGATTGGATCGATCTGCGCCTGGAGCATAATTCTTGCACCCGCAATCGGATCGACGATAAAGCGAATTTGGTGGTAGAAGTGGGGACCGAGCATGTTTTCTTTTTGCTAATTAAAATATCTGCAAGAATCTATACATAGCTACCGAACAAAAAGAGAAAATTTTTGAACATATAAAATTCATCAATTAGGAGAGCCGTGGCAGTCACCATGATCCCTTCAGGATCAAGTGTTTTCAGTGGCTTCACCAGCAAGAAGTATGGATCGGTGGTGCTTGACGCGTGTCAAGTTTTGATGGACGGACTAATTAATTCATGTATGATATGAGGGAGAACGTATTTAAGCTTTTATGCTCATGATGTCGTAGTCCAGATTAAGGAAAAGTGTCAACAGCTAAAACTTAATTATCTCGTAAATCTTATATAGATCCCAACTTTACTTGAATGTTTTCACTTTTTAAGGCTATGAAATGTCTTTGGATGCGCGCGGTTTGTAATGTGAGAACATCACGTGTTTGGTGTTTGCATCTGCGTGGGTGGAGGGTTTTTATTGGGTGCGGGGGGGGGGGGGGGGGGGGGGGAGGATTCTTCGATACCGTTCTTGGGGTTAGAAATAAAACCAGGCCTGGAGAAGAGGCAATCAGTGCATGTGTTGAAAAGAAAACAAACACATGGACTACGGCAGCACAAGGAACCACAAGCATAAGCACAAGCAGCGCTGGGGTATGTTCGACTTAATAAATACTCTCTATGCACCCGCTTATATATTATTTGCACCCCTCATGTTAGGTTTTTTTTTTCTTTTAAAAAAAGAGGTTGATGGTTGTGACGTGGCTGCTCATTTGGCAAAATGCATCATTAAGAGATGAAATAGTTAGGTCATCTTTTAATATGACAACTAGGAAGAGCCTCACCACGTATGCATATCTTGGTAGCTCATTTCGTAAAATGAGCAGCCAACTCATATCTATTTTTTCCTTTTTTTAATTTATAAAGCCCAATTACCCATGGTTATTGGCGAAATTACCAAACTGGTATTTTTAATAGAATCCCTATTACAACATGATATTCTTTTTGTTTCACCGGTGCTACTATGGTATTAATATCAAAACTAACACTAATTGTTTTATTTTGCTAGATAAAAATAATATCAAATTGATATCAATGTTGCTATTAATCCCATAATATTGTTAGTGAAATATATATATATATATATATAAGCAATATGAAATAACTTAGTACGAAGCATAAGTTTTTGTACTTGGTAGTGATGTGACTTATTCTCATCCACTCATTCAAATGAGTGACCACATTCATATGGTTAAAGAGTAGATGAGAATAAGACATCTTACTACCAAGCGCAAAACATATACTTAGTACCAAGTTCCTTTATATATATATATATATATCAAAGTTTTATCTTTATTTATTTTTACACCTATCAATTTCAAAATAATAGATAACCAAAATATTCATATCGAATTCTAAATGTAGATAGATACTGATGCTTCAAAGTTTTATCTCTGTTTATTTATTTTTATTTGAGAACGATTATGAAAGTGTATAGACTTAAAGCTAAAACAGGATTAAATTTTGGGCCATATTCAAATGTACTTAATTTCACGAAGGCCTCGCAAGATAATTTTCTGGTGAACGGAAGTAGAAACTTAACGCGCGCGCTGTCGGATAACTGCAGTCGGTGCGCTGTCGGTGGCGGGCATCGAGGGCTGAGTCGAGTCGTCACTGATTTTGAGGAATACAACTTCTATTGCGAACTGTACGTCCTTGAATTTTTCGCAATATTTATATTTTGGGTGTTAACACCTCACCCTTTTTCAGTGCTTGCATATTATTTACTGTCACGTGGAATTTTAAAACAGGACAACTTGTTATTTCTCCAAACCTTTTTTACAAGGTTTTCCCGTGAATGCTTCCTGGTCTGCGGGAAGTGAATTTTGCACTGAAAGCTCATGTGTTGAAAATTTATCTTCTTTGCGTTTTCCATTCTAACCCTTCAAAGTTAAAAGAAAAATAAAAAAAAGAGGAAAAAAAAAAAGAAAAGAGTAATACTATGTAGATTATAAAAGGTACGCGTTCTTAATTATACTATGTACGAGATACAGAATTTTGGATTCATAGACTCAGTAATTTCTAATTGAAATTCACCATAAAGGACCCTTTTTTTCATCTTGTGATGCAAGAGTATATTACTTTAGTAGTCTCGATATCGTTTTTTTATGGAAAGCAAAAGAGCAACACAAATTTTCTAGGTATTAATTATTTGTTAGGTGTCAAACATTCTATGTTATTTCAAAATTTCAATTGTCCATTTTGTATTTTATTCGGTATAGGCTAAAATTTTAACCAAGACAGTTTTTTATTCTTAAAAATATTAAATAATATAGATCAATTTTAAAGGAATAGACTTCAATATATTAACCAAATGTTGAATTTTGAATGGAAAATATTAAACTACTGATCTTTTTGGAAACGTCCAAACTACCTATCACATAACTTATGTTACATATAATAATATATAAAAATATATATATCGGAAATGTAGCTATTCACTCACTACCCCTTATTTTTAGGGGGAAAATATGTCATTAGTATTTCATCTGTTAAGAAATAATAAAAACTACCAACGACTCTATCATTATGTATGTATAATGTACCTGCGCATGCAAAGTCATAGACTTAGACCTTCTAATGTCTTGAAGCATCCGAACCAAAAATATATTTCTCAATCTTTCATTTGTTGTTTTTTTTTTTTTTTGGATGAATGCAAAGTTGAATACAGAGCTCCCTTTTTTCCCCTTTCAAATTCCACTTTAGAAAAGAAAATTTCTACACATGAAAGATTTGATGAAGTGAAACCAAATTCGATCTAATTACTTCCGTACTAATTTCATCAAAACAAATGTGAAATTTTAAAAACAAACCGTGAAATTAGGTGCACAGATTTTTTTTTGCTATTTCTTGATAACAGAGGGAGCCCAAGATATCTACCTCCTTAAATATTAGGTGCACAGATTCTAAAAACAAACCGTGAAATTAAAGCATATAAGCTACCTGTCGGTAGCAAATAATGCTAGTGTCGGCAGACTCATTTTCCACTTATTATTATTCTTCAAACATATTTCTGAATATTGAAAGTAGGTCCAATTAATTTTTTAATTGGTGAACTTTGCTTGATGCCCTCTGTCACGTTCCCTTTCTTGCTCATCCGCCCTTTGCCACACTCCAACTGCGGGCCCCACTCCTTCACCTTAATGAGATTCTTCAATGGTAGCTAGAATGATGAAGACCTGATACCTTTTTTTTTTTTTGTAATTTAAAATTTTTTTTTTATTTGAACTTTAACAACCTTAGAGAGCACTCAAATTGGTTTGATTGTCCCTTTTGGCTTTGCAAAAATATCTACTGCAGTAGTTCATTTATATAGCAAGCAAGGTGCGGGTGTTTCTCAAAGAAGTCATCTGACATTTATAAGCAAGCTTTGCTCTTTTTATTAGCAACCTAGAAGCAAAAAGGAGACCGAATGTGGGTGACGCACAAGCATCATTCAGCTAGTAAAATACATGTACAATTATAAGGGGCTTTCTTTCTTTTTTTTTTTAAGATATTAGTCCCTCAAATCTTCTAAAAGTCCGCCAACCCTTTGAAATCGCTTATTAGTCCCTCAAATCCTATGGGCACTTGCAAATTGCTCTCTCTAGTTAACTCACATTAGATTTGAACGGAATACTCCTTTACATCTAAAGGTTTGTGTGGGAATTAAAAAAAAAAAAAAACTAAACCCACGTCTTCTCTAGCAGTCAAACAAAAACATCCCCAAGCACACCTTGGGACACACCCCCTCTCTCAGCTACAGTGCACGGGGCTCACTTTAGATTTTTAAAAAAATCTAAAGTGAGCCCCGTGCACTGTAGCTGAGAGAGGGGGTGTGTCCTAAGGTGTGGTTGGGAGTGTGCCTGTAGTGCCACTCGATATACATAATCCTCAAGTGAAGGGTAATTTGGTAATTAAGGATATCGGGCTAGGAGTTAGCCTGGTTGTGCTTCGAAGTTTTAATTGAAAGAGTAACGGCGGGACCAGTTTGAAATACCAAATAGGATTTGAGAGAATAAGAAAAGCAATTTTCAAGATAGGGGGTACTAATATCTGGACAAATTTTCAAAACCAACCTATTTAGAAACTTAATTGCAAAAATCGATTAATTTTGAATTTAATTGTCAAAATCAACCCAGTTTTAGTCAGTTGGCTGAAACTAGGTCCATTTTAGAGAAATAATTTAAGAAACTTCACGAGACTTCAAGCCCTATAAAGTTTAAGCGCGTTATTAAACTTCACGGGACTTCAAGCCCTGTGAAGTTTCGTAACTTTTTTTTTATCAAAATGGACCCAGTTTCAGCCAACTGGCTGAAACTTAGCTGAAACTGGGTCGATTTTGATAATTAAGTTGCAAATAAGTTATTTTTTATAATTAAGTTTCTAAATAGGTTGGTTTTAAAAATTTGTCCTACCAAAACACAAAACCCCCAACCCCTCTCTAAAGCACTCACAGCCTCACGGGAGCCAATATTATCAAGCCATAAAGCCTACCAAGTTTGTTTGCTAGGCCCACAACCCAGATCTTTCGTCGATTAGTTCATCCATGGGCTGTTGTGGCCCGGCCCAATTTACGCGAAGACCAAAACTTTGGCCTCGCCTGTCTTTCATCCAACTCCCCGGCCCCCTCTACTCCGAATCCGAGCATTTCATCCAATCTCCAGCAGTAGGAATCCCACGATCCCTCACGATTCCGAAGTGAGTCCCCCTCATTCTCGCTTCATTTACTTCAGCTTCGTAATTCGATTACTGTTCTTCTCAAGCCCACAATTCTAATCAAATTTGTATTTTGAATTATTATGTCGTGGGTTTATCTGGAATCTCTTGTGTAATAGAAACTTTGTATATATGAACATTTGAAGATAACAAAATTAATAACATGTGTATTTTGATTATATGATTCAAAACGCTGTCAAAAAATGATTCTAATTCGGGACACATCAATCATACCCTAAGTTAGTTAAACCCTCGTCATAGAACTTTTTTAATGGTTGCAGCAATCTCCATAGACCCCTAAAAATCGAAAATTGCCTCGTGCATAAGGGGGTTTAAAAAAAAACAAAGAAATTTGATTTATGGGGCGAATGGAGCTTTGATGCGGAAACATCTCATCCATTTGCGATTGCGATGTTCAAAAACATTTGTTCTGTTATGTGTGTGGTCTGGGAGTGCTTAACGATTAATCGTATTATGCGGAATTATGCGTTTTTGGATTTTTTTTTTAATATATATTTATTATTTATCATATGTCATAATATATTAAATTCATGAAAAGTAGAAAATATACCAAGAAAATGAACAAGAGACGTGCAATTGAACAATCAATAACTAGTTAACTGTTTAAAAATTCAATCCATACTTCAAAATTAACTAGATACTCAAATAGAAGTCGTTAAGTTAAACACTTAAACTAAAAATTAAAAGTTCATAAACTAAAAACAAATCGACTTGTCTTCCTCATAACAAACGTTAGCATCCAACTCTTCGTTGAAGGGAGCCTCAAATTCAACATTATTATCCTCATCCAAATCTTTTCCATTAGGCCCTTCATTAGTCATGTCCTCAACTGCATAATGGGGCGCTTTTTCCCGCATAAAAAATTCTGAACGCTTACTAAAAAAATGCCCGATTATGTGGATGGCCGCATAATGGAGCGCTTTTGTGACATCCCACGTGAGTGTGCTGTCAATGAGATGACAGCGACACTTCCCACCTTACAAAGTTAGTCCCACATCGGTGGGAATGAGAGAAAATTAAGGATTTATATAGTGAAGCTAAAAACTCAAGTATAACATCGGCTAGTCGATTTTGGCAGTGGTTTGAGCCAAATAGCACATTACACTCGATGGGTGCCACGGCTCACACGCGCCAAAGGGCCCATAGGCCCGGGGCGTGACAAAATGGTATCAGAGTCGTTGCCACCCGGAAGTGTGGAGCTAAGTGCTATGTGGGGCTAAGTGCTACACCGTGTGGCGGGAGCCACCTCTAGAGCCTGTAGGAGCTATACCTCTATAATCCACATTGCCTGGCGGGAGCCACCTCTAGAGCCTGTAGGAGCTATACCTCTATAATCCACATTGCCTGGTAGCCTGGGATGTGCTAATTGTCATGCCGCGACGAGGACATCGCCTTTGTAAGGTGGGGTGAATGTGACATCCCACGTGAGTGTGCTGTCAAGTGAGATGACAGCGACACTTCCCACCTTACAAAGTAAGTCCCACATCGGTGAGAATGAGAGAAAATTAAGGATTTATATAGTGAAGCTAAAGACTCAAGTGTAATATCGGCTAGTCGATTTTGGCAGTGGTTTGAGCCAAATAGCACGTTACACTCGGTGGGTCTCACGGCTCGCACGCGCCCCGGGCCCGTGGGCCCGGGGCGTGACAGCTTTCCCTCTAATCAGTGCGGTTCCAGCCCGCATAAGCAGCTGCTTAATCTGCATTTTAGAGCCTTGTGCCACTGGTATAATGGAATTCATTCAGGTTCCTTATTCCTTTTTGTCATTCATAGTTGGTTATGACTCTGTTACTTGAAAAAGAGATGTGATCATCTGTAAATTTTAGAGCGCATGCTTTCAATTCAACCTTCATCATGTTTCCTTAGAACGTATAAAATCGAGCAAAGTCTTTCTACTTTGTTTTCTCAATTCTTCTTTTGCAGTGTTAAAAAAGTAATTTATATTCGTCAACCTGTAATGATTGCCAATTTCTTGCTTCATGACAGCTAGGTGGATTTCATAGGTTTGGGGCAAACTTCCCATGCTTAATCTCTATTTCCAGCTGTCTTTTCTTTTATATTGCATTTTGCTGGCTCGTCAAAGCATCTTCATTGACTGCTTGCCTCATGATCAAGGGTAAATATAAGAAAATACCATCTCTTTCATAATGTCCCTGCTCTTATTTTTCTCATTTCCGAGCAAATTTAGACAGGATATTCAAGTATTGAATGTCGGCAAGGAACTCGTGAGGCAAGTTCTACCGTTGAAGATGGGCCAAGGCGTGTACAACATACATGGTCTTAAAGAAACTCATTGGTACGAAGTCAAGATATCATATCCAGCTTCCGTATGTACTTTTCTTCCTACCTAGTTTTTTGTTCAATTAGCTTCATCCGTACATGCTTGAGCTCACAATCTCACGGAACAACAGATACCTGCTAGCTTCTCCCTTCAAGTGAAGAGCAATGTGAGAGACCTTTGGTTAAGGAAGAATAGAAGACTATTAGACACTGAGAAACTAATTTTCAAGTCTGATATGAGTACATTGGTCAGTACTCAAAACTTCAAGTTTTCTTTTGAGTTTGTTTTATATGTAGAGTCATGCGCTTAGGAGGTTCGTAATGTAGGATTCAGGACTTGGAGAGATGTACATTGTTGTGACTGTGGAACCTGCGGGAATTGTTGCAAAGCCAGGTGTTCGGGAAAGTGAATTTGTCTTATTTAACATTGGTAAGTTTTGCCTTCTAGGCTGATTCTGGTTTTATTTTTGTGGATATTTCTTAATGTCTCTTTGCTTCTAGTTGAGACCTTTTCTGGGCTATTGGTTCCGTTGAAGTAAACAAATACGAAGAGACAATGCATAAACTGTGGAATATAATTATGACTTCTTGTTGCTGATACAGTACAGGAAATCTTATGTTCACTAAATAGTCAGATTCAAACTGACATGATTTTTTTATGTGTTTAGAAAATATTCTCATTTCCACGTGCCCTTTGCTTTGCTATGTAGAGACAAATTTGTATTGGTAGCTTCATTTGTTTCTGGTTCCTTTTTTTTAATGTTTTTTCCTGCTCCTCGTATACATCAGTGCATAGAACCCTGTGTGAATAACCAAGCATTCAGTATTCATGCCTTCCACTTGTTCTGTTTCTTTATTTACTTCTCTTCTTTTCCTCACAATTGAAGAAGTTTAAAGATGATTTCCAAGGAAACAAGTCCATAGAATCTGAGGGATGGTTTATCTCCATTCCACTTTCTCTTCATGGATGATGTTAATTTCCTCTGTAGCGTATTCCATTCAGTGTCAAGCTCTTGCTATGTGAACTATATGATTAGGATGCTTTAAGTCCTTGAATCCCTAATTGAGTATCTGAAGTGCTTGATGAAACCCTAACTTTCAGAGAGCCTTGTGATATTTCTACCATGAACATGAAGTTCTGGGAGCAACTATTGAGCCAGGAAAAAACAACTGAAACGATTGGTAGATGTTGCTGCCTTCCAAATATGAACTGTAGCAGATTTGGAGCTGTTGGTCTTCTTTAAACTGGACGAAATGGTAGTATGTTATGGTTATTATCCCCAGTGTGTTTGTGTTTGTTTCAAATCATATCTTTATTTGCTTGTTAGAACATGTACAAACCGTAAAGATAGGGAGTTCCAATTTCATGATCTATACAAAGTGAATAAAGCTAGAAAATGGAGGCACACATGACCCGATCAGGATAAACATTTTAAATTGGTTACCGACAGTTAAACTAAACTTTGTTCTTTACCTGTGAACTTTAATTCATTGTCTATTAAGTATTAAATAGTAATTCTCTTGGCACATTGCATTTATAGGCAAAGAGGAGGAAAATTTAATTATCATTGATGAAACCATTAAAGATTAAAAAAAAAATTAATGTGAGCTTTGATCAAACATATTTTTCTTAACATGATTCTATTTTCCTGTTTAATTCATATGGTCATTTATGTTGCATGGGTTCTAGTTGTAGCTGTAGCCGTATCCAACACCAAGCATCAATGGACACTCCTCATATATTTGCATACGCCTATTCAAATGTGTACTCAATTATATAATGTGTTTTGATTTAAAACACTCATCATATACTTCTTGGACGTATGTCCTAGACTTCACATGCAATTCTTGAAACTCGTTGGATATAAGTCGGGCTAGTTTCAGCCTTTACCCAATGCAAAGGTATGATTATAAAGTGCCTTTTGGATATCAAATTAGAAACCGAGCAATTCTAATTTATAGATCCATAGTATAAAAGAAACATATAAATGTCATAGGAATTTCATTTCATAGCATGAAATGAAAAAATAATATTGCTCTCGCGTAAATTATTATTAAATCTACATGCTGTGTAGTCGTGTCCCCATACCCTACCTTTACAAATTTGCCGTGTCTTGTACCTACACCACTACGGCATCCTACCCATGTAACTTATGTCATTTTTAGAGCAAGTCTAGTGGTCACCTAGTTCCTACTAGGAATTTGACTTTGGCATAATTAATTAATGGAAGATGAATCCGGTTCATTCCAGTTCACGAAAGTCCTTGAAAGCATGAGGGTCTGATCTTCAGATGATGGATATGACTCAATTCCATATTCTTCTCTGAAATTGTTTCTATTTGTCGTAAATTATCTATAATTGTAACTCACCATCACAGCATTTTTTGCAGTGTGTGATGAACTGTCACTTGGGATTCCACATAAAGCCTGGTGGGTAGGCACTGCAGCTATTCTATGTTTGATACTAGCATCAATCATTCCATACTTCCTCCCATTACAGCGGCTGCTGAATATTCAAGCTTCACATTCTAGCTACTCAACCGAGACAAAAGCTTCATGAAATTCTAGTCTGGCACGATGACATTGCAAAGCTAAGGAGGGTAATCACTTCTTTTCTTCATGAAGTCTAATTTATAGAATCCACTCCTAAGTTGATCCATATCATTTAAAAGACTTGCAAACCAAAATTGAGTATTATGGAAGTTTTTCTGTCATGCAGCTGCAAGCATATATTGGACAACTGAATAAGGGGCTTTATCTAAATCCGAACTTAAGGACATAAAAATAATTATGATCCAAACAATTAAGAACTCTTACAGATCAAATTTTCTTAGATGGCGAACATTCTAAAGCAAACGGTTAGCACGGAAATCATTGTTATTGGGTAAATTGATGCAGAATTATAGTAAATTATGTCAGGTCCATTTCCCACACTGATAATTGTGAGAGAAATCATCATAAAGAAGAGTTAAGATTTTTTGGCACATATACCCTTGATATAGCTCCCCAAACATTTGGGATAAAGGCTTTGTTGTCGTTGTTGTTGTTGTATACCCTTGATATAGCTTTCCTTTTATTTTCTTTAGTAACATATACTGTAATACCCCAACCCTTGAGAGGGTGATGTGATTGATAGATTTGATTGGAATACTCATACCACTAAGATGCATCTTTTTTTCGGGAACCCAACTCTTAGAAACTCCAAAGTTAAGCGTGCTTGGCCTGGAGAAATTCTAGGATGGGTGATCCCCTGGGAAGTTTTCTAGGGAGCACGCGAGTGAGGACAAAACGTGTTGAAAAGACATGTGATGGTTTGTGAGGCCAGTCCATCAGATCTAATAGCGTACCGACTCCGGGATTCCGGGGCGGCGCGTTACATATACAAACTTTATGAATCATATATCAATATATATAGTGGTTTTCTACTGTAGATTTCTATTTATGCTAGCTGAATTAAACATTTGGAAAGAAGCTTGTCAACTGCCAAAGTAGTCTTTAATGCAAATGTCTATTTCTTTCAGGTCTCCCTGTTTCTTCATTGACCATGTCACGGAAGCAGCGTGTCATAGCCAAGACACAAGAAAGTGCGCCCAGCTTGTTGACATAAAACAACTTTGTTTTGAAATTCTCATGGTCTGGGTATCATGAAGTGTGATTTCGAAATATGTAAAATGAGATCTCGGCTCGTTGATGAAAATGTCCTTGATTTCTTTCTTGCTTTATCTCCTAGACTCCTACTTTAACAAAGCTACAATGTTATTTGAGGGTATGCGTACGAAAGATAAAACAGTTTTTATGTGTTTTTGTTTCTTGAAGTAAATTCTTGTCTCATCTTTTATCAAGGCATATAATTATGTAATGCTATATATTGGCCTCTCTGTGGTCATGAAACTTTTCTATAGGGTTCGTTGTTAAAGAAACTACACTACTTGTCAGCAGCAGGAGTACATATGTGATGTAATCCTCAATCAAACGGAATGGAAGCAATAATGATGCATTTATATTTTTGCATTCTAGAGTTCTAGTATATATCTATTTAATCATGAGAAGCTCCAAAAAATAATGAAAATTCTATAACATGAGAATAGCGGTAGCTCTATAAAGTAATCCGATTTTATGGCATACAAATATACAATTAATAAGAAGATATATTAATTGTCAATTATGTTTTAACTTAAACGTTCTCTATTACAAAGGCAACTTGGAAAATGTGTTGTCAGCCAGCGTTTACGCAGGTACTGGAAACGCAATCAAGCTCTGCAAGCACACTGCAATCTGTTTGGAGAACAAAATGAACTGGTTTTTGCAAGTCATTGAGTAAAACTCAGAAACAAGCAAGAGGAAAATATAACAAGCCAGTCAAAAGCAGTGGTTTCATTTACAAAAGAAAACATTTTGATAAGTTAATACTAAATTAAGCAGTTAATACATTACACGGCTTCTTCAGTTCTCACATTAATCATCAATGAAGTACCTCCCATCTAAAGCCGATAGACGCCTACTAACTACAACAATCATGTTACAAAAAGCTACACTGCATAATAGGATAAGCCCTTTTTCGATGATTAAATCTTGTTTGTCTTCACATACCCCAAACAGCACGACCACTGACAAGCTTATTGTTCGGTCTTGAAGTCAGCTCGTACAATATTCGTGCAAAGGTATCAGCATATCTTCCATCAGACAGAAGAATCTCGGTAAATGTTGTTTCATGAGCAGCCAACACTGCCCTATTTTGAGGCTCGGATGCCAGGCTCTCTAAGATCATTGCAGCTTTCCTGCAGACCTCGGGCACAGGATGTGGAGTTCTTATTATCTTTAGAAGTCTATCAACCGCCCTGAATCAAATCAAACAAATTAAATCAGAGATGGAGGATAAGGGCTCCATAATAAGGGTTAGCCGCACATAAGCCCCCTGTAGTCACAGTGTTGAACTTATTAGTCCTGGCAGTTGCATTGTTGCAGATGGAACCCCTAGGTTAACTTTTTGACTTTTTTATCCTCTGATACTCACTAATTTCACCGAGGGGCAATGTCCACCAAAATTTTACCCAGGTTAAAAAGTCAAAATAAAAAAAATAATTAAAGCAGGTGGTCTCTCTCTAAAAATTAAACTATAGGGTTAGTAAGTTCAAAACATCGTCGATACTGCAACAATGAAACTACAAGGTAATAAGTACAAAACAGCGATAAGACAAGGGGTCTATGTACAATTAACCGTAATATAAAAAGATAGTCGTGTCATGGCCTTTACCAACGTTCGCTGGCTAGTTTTAACCTACAGTCCATATTCACTTCTGAAAGATTGTAAAGTGCCCCAACAGCAGCAGCTTGCGCATCCACTGCTTGTAAGCTCAGAAGATCAACTAGCCGCTTGTATATCTGCACACAGGCTTCACCATCTTAAGGGAAAGGAAACAATATTCATGCATACATGATTTAGGTTGCGACATATGCTAACCAACGGAGAAGAAGGAAGAAGAAATGGTTCATTGTCGGGATTTATTATTAGGCGCCCAAGCAACTCAGCTGCTGCACAATGCCAAGCCTTGACTGAAGACCCCAGCATACTCATGACGGCCTGAACAGCACGTTTCTCACTGGATAGATTTTTTGGGAACAAATTACAACTGACAGTTCAAAATGGAAAAGAGAGAAGAAATAGTGATGAAATAGTATCTCACGTCATTCTGATAAAAGATGGCTTCGATGAGCTGAAGATTCGTAGGTCCAGCAACGGTGCTAGGTTGACAATCGTCTCCAGAGCATTGGTTATGAGCTCCTCATCTTCTGTTGAAGTAAATAAACTAAATGATAGGATCAAATGCATAATAGTGATGGGAGAATGTGTGTGCAACATTTTTCAATTGTATTATGCAAAATAAGTAAATTAAATATGCATGGATTGTTGCTGAATAGACACTCTTGCGCTTAGGATCAGACTACCCAGTGCCCATGCCAACTATTATTAACATGCAAAAGTCAAAGAGGGACAAATGATCCATTGTACCCACTACCCACATTATTTCAACTCATAATTATGAACTGCTCTTAGTTAAATCCTCATCAACATCATCTGTAACATCTATAGTTACCTTTGCCAAAGGAAAAAAAAAAACCATGTTGGATGTACTAATTCTCCTAATCACTTCTTCCACATATTCTACTTCAAATCTTATTAGCAGAAGAAGCAACAAGATTTTGCCTCAGAAATTCAACAATATGCTCTATGGACAGTGCTGTGAACGATCTCAAATTGTAATTTTAACAAAAAAAGTGTATGAGAAAATGTAGGTCTAGCAAGTGACTGGCAAGTATCCTAATTAAAAGTATAGTTTCTAACCAGGAATTTGAGAAATATAATGTAAATGTTGCAGGAGTGCCTAAGAAGAGTTGTAATTTGATATGTGCATCAACATGTCCAAGATGGGCATTGCTTCATAATCCTTGCTACCTATAAAACTGTACAGACTAGACAGTATCATTTTGGTCCATATGGACTTCCATGATTTGATCATAATATTCAAGGAACAGAGCTATTAGATCCATAATCTAAACCAAACAAATTGTCGACCCTGACACTAAACCAAAACTCTGAAGTTTTGGTGAGGTTGACGATTATCATTTTATACTATTACTCTAACATATGCCCGAAGGCCTTTCATGGGCCAGAACCTAGACTCACGAAGCGATACCTTTTTCTTAATCAGTCACTACACCCAAACTCCGAAGTTTTAGTGAGACTTGAGGATTATAATTTTATACTCTTAACACAAATAAATAGAAAAAAAGACCTGCAATCTTCAACTAGTATTGACGATATGCATGCTAAATAAAAAATTTGGTACATAAATAAGGGCATCATCAAGAAGTGTGTGCCACGTGTCAAAGAATGTAGGTATTTAACACGTGAGTAACCAGTCCAACATAGATAATGAATTCATGGTTAGTTAATGTGCTGCATATTAAGTTAGAAAAACTCCACCACATCCTACAGGCTCATGCAGCCCACATAATTAGGACACAAAGAAGATAAAAGCACTTTGGTTAATAGCCTGAACTAAACAAAAAGACTCTTTCTCTTCACAATATTGCAGTCACATTCCAAAACGGAGAATAAACTAGTGACGGTAAATTCCAGTTCCGAGCCTCCAGCTGAGAACATCCGTCACTAACTCATGTTTTCCTACATGCCTCTTGCTATAGTAAGATTTTATAAATACTTAAACCTTAGCTCTAATTAAGATCTCACCTTCTCTGATGTATGCAATTGTTTTCAAATGAGCCTTTATCTTATATTCATAATGGCCAAAAGACACATGAACCCAAATGTTCCATTTTTCCATAACAAAATATGTGTGTCTAAGAAAGGTGCAATATATTACAGCATGACAGCACTAGAGCGTACTAAATAATTTTGTTCTTGCAAATTGAGTGCAGGTGTACTTTCAGAGTGCACCACAGTGGCTCCATTAGAAAGTATATCCACAAAAGATTGCTTAATTACTGTTGACACAATAGTTAGCAGAAGCCAAGCATACCACATATCTTAATCACGATACAACAATAACCACCTTGTCTCAAAATGCATTTATGTGATAACGGCATTTTATTAAAACTAAAAACATCCTAGATATATTCTAGTCCAAAATAGGCTTTTCAAAACTAGGATGAGAAAAAAAATAATATATATATATCCTAATCTGAAAAGAGAGTTTTTGGGGAAATGGTACCACACCTGTACTCTGATCTTCAATACATTGAAATATCGTTTCCAAACAGTGTCTATGTTGGGCCATAATCATCTCATTGTCTGGCATGAAAGAAAAGTTCCGGATGATATTTGAAGCAACAATAGCACATTGTTGTTTCTCAGACCGACCCTCCTCGTCTACATTAAACAGTCCATCTTCATCAAACCACCACTCGAAAGCATGACGCTTACGCTTCTCGGCGGAGACCTCTGGAATCGATGATCCACTTGTAGGGCTGCCAGACAATGATTTTACATTGAACTCAGTATTTGAGGCAATCAATCTGGACAAGGTGATCAGTGATGACATGTCATACAAAAGAGTCAAAATAAAAATAGCATACCCATGATGCAGGCGAGTACCAGTAGCTGTTATCTCACATTCATTTCCAAAACCTGTAACCGCAGAATTTGCACCCAATGATCTTACTCGTGCAGGTTTCGTTGAGTCCCTTGGAAAATTTATGTCACGCCACTCATCAACCTGTTTCATTAAACACTTGCACTTTGTCTAAAATGCATATCCATTGTATTATAGGAAGCTGATGCGCAATGGCAAAATAAAATAATACAAGAACAATAACGAGAACACAACTATCTAGTTATAAGTTTGGAACAAAATGCAGCAACGCCTGCATTTTGTAATGCATTGTCAAATAAGATCTAAGAAGGTCTACAAGTCATTTACAAATATAAGAACCATTAGCAGCACTCATCTGGCAAGACTCATGCATAAATAGGTTAACAAATTACAGATACACATCAAATGAAATGTGGAGTAACACTTTGAGGGAAAAAGGTAATATTCAAATATTTTTTGGAACTTGAATCAGCAAGTAAAACTTCAGAATCGAGAATCTAATGGATCCATTAGCAGCCTTTACTAAGTGATAAGAACAGTTGCCACAAAAATAAACAATGATAATAGCACCTACAACTTGAAGAAGAGCATCTAGAAGCCCTGGTATCTTAGCAAGAGGGGTGGCATCTCTACGTAAATCATCCTTTTCTTTGAAAGATAGCACCGTAAGAGTGTTCAAAGCCCAAGTCAACTCACTCTTCAGTCCACTTTGTAGAGCGAGGACAATCCTTTTGTTGTTCTGTTCTGCAGAAAGATAATAAACATAACACCTGTGAGCTATAGAGAAACTTTCCTGCATTGAATTTCATTCAGCTTTTTCTCTCCAGACACTAGCATCATGAATCAAAAGAGAACTCCTTATGAGCCATATAAAAAGATAATGGAATAATAATTATTTAATAAAAGCAAGATGTTTTAACACAAAAGAAAGAAAATGAACAAGACAAAATCATTTCATCAACGAGTCAAAAGGTAACAATGCCCACATGACGAAAGCTTCTAGCAGGAGCCACAAAGTTTTTTGTCAGCTAAACTATAAGCTTAATAAGTTTTAGACAGTGTCTGCAATCTAAATCATCATTCAGTCTGGAGCTCTCAATAAGATAGACTCCTCCATGTCTACATCATGAGCACTATAGCATTTCACTAATTTATTCCTCAGAACTAGAAATTGCTCATGTAGTAATGCTCTTCAATTCATTACAATCACAAGATGGAGGGACAGTCACAAAAGGAGAAATTCCCATTAGTAACAGCAACAAGGGCACGTGACCCTATAAGTTAATGCATCTGACGCTTAAACTTATATTCCAGCTGTTGAATTATACATATAAGCATACATTGCTACAAACATGTTATCAGTAGAACCAAAGTTTCAATTATCAAAATTTTATTTGAAAAGATTCTTAAATGAAAAAGAATAAAATTTGCATTATTGGGAGTTCATTTTGTAATGATGCATCCAAGATCCTAAGGACATCACACAAAGGAGCACAAGGATCAAGCACAATAGAAGAACAATTGCAACGCGATAGGGATACTGCATATGAATTTCACATATATATTTAGACTCAAATCTGCAACAATTTAGGTTTAGATATGATATAAACATATAAAGAAGAATATTTAAAAAAAGACATAAAAAAGAATAGGCAGAGGAAGTTGTTCACATGTAGAACAATGACTTAATTGACTAATGCACATACAAAATCCTCTTTCTATAAAATTTGCAACAAATTGGGTTGTGGGCTGTAATAGTGGACATGTTCTATGAAATATAAGTGAAATTGGGGCATTAAAAAGCTTCATAGTTTTAAAGCATATGATATGCCAAAAACAATCCATAATTTAACGGAGCATGATTCCATGAATGTCATCTAACTTAAAAATGGATGAAACTGATATAGACTGTTTTAGCATCTTGAGATGAAAAGAGGGATCAGCATACAAAGATTTTAAGACGCCACCGTGAGAACGTAATGAGTCTACAAAACAAGTTGAAATACAAACTAGGATGCCAAATGAAATTTGTGCCCAAAGTTTTCAACGAGGTTCTTGCAACTACAATATTTTGTTGGAAATTTTGGAGAATCCTAATAAACCTCCACGAGTGACCTTTCATGCATTATGAATGCAGGTCACTATATAACAAGCTTGTAATAGCGTGCCTACTGCCTTATGAATTTTAAAAATCCCCTTGCTCCAAATTAGGGAGATCCTAATAAAAAACAACGAGGTGCTATGAACTCCAAGTTTAGCTTTCCTTAATGGAATCCTAACAAACTTTTACCAAGTGGCACCATTGCCTCAATGGTTTTAGGTTTTTAACCGCACTGAAGGAACAGTAAAAATAACTTGTACTGAAACCACAAAGATAAAATGTAACTAAAGGAACAATAATACTAATAATTATATTAGGACAAGTTTGGTTTCTATTACTTAATGATTCCCAAAGCTCGCCTTTGGATCTATCAGTATCTGCCACTTTTTACTATGAAATTGCCTCTATTGGCTTCTCTTTTGATATATAGTGAATTTATCAACTTTTTCTCGAGTTGGAAAAGGGTCAACTTAGCTCCTAGGATTCTTGATGAAGTAATTTACCTAATAGGACTCTTGGTTAAAGTCCTATCTTGTGTTTCTATAAATTAATAAAAATTTGAACATTTTGTGTCGTAATTTGGCATAGCTATGTGTTAAATTTACTTTTTATCTTTCAAATGAAAACTAATGTCTCATTGGTTGCATATGTCCTATATTTTTTTGATAAAATTAAGGGTAAATTTCACCAATCACCCATGAGGTTTAGAGGCTTCATAAAAACTACCATAACAACAAGTCTTTATTTCAAACGTTTGGGGTCGGCTACATGAATCTTATTCTACCATTGCGTTCGATTTTTGGCCATCTCCTCTGTTAAGTTGACCATAATCATATCCTTTTTAATTGCTTCCAACCAAGTTATCTTAGGTCTACATCAAGATCTCTTTGCCCTCATTAACTATAATATTATCACTTTTCCTAACCAATACATTAAAAGGTCTCTGTAGTACATGATCAAACCACCTTAGGGCCTGTTTGTTTGCACGGAAGTAATTGTGAAGTAGCTGAATTAAAAAAGTAGAGGCTACTTCTGCTACTTCTAAGCAAAAAAATGTGTTTGGTTCTCTGAAAAACTTACTTACAATACTTTCCTAAATGCTTATGTGGCGCGCGTCATCCTTACTTCCAAAATATTTTTCCAATCCTCAATACTCAGAAGTAGCTCGGAAGTAGTTGAAATGCATATTAATTATGACATAAAAAAAATTTATTAATATTTCCTTTATTAGTTACTTATAACAACTTTTCATTGATAAAATTACTTCCTAATAATATTTCCAAATGTTATCCAAACAAAAAAAGTAAATGAAGAGGAAGAAGTTCTACTTCCATTACTTCTAAAAATATATGAAACAAACAAAAAAAATGTTATTTCCACTACTTCCTACTTCATAGCTTTGAAAGTTACTTCTATAACCTACTTCTTACTTCTAATATTTTCATTATCCAAACGGGCCCTTAGTCGATTCTCTCTCTTTTTATCTTCAGTAGAAGCAACATCTACTTTACTGCGGATGCCCTCATTTACTATGCAAAAAACTACCATGAACTTTCAAATTTAGAGAAATACCCATAAACTTTTCCCACATAACCGTTAATCGTCAATTAACACTGCTAACTCTAATATCAAACTTGCATGGTATGTGGGCCAAAAAGACTAAAATGCCCCTAATTCCAAAAAAAATCCCTCTTTATCCTTTTAATAAAGAGTTGCAAGAAGTGGACGTGAAGTGCAATAGATACAAGAAGTGTATGCTAAGTCTTTTAAACTAAAATGTCTATATAATCAAGTAGATGTCTAAAATAAATGTACACAGATTCAAGGAGTGTTGAAGAAATGTCGATATCAAACACGTGTCGGACACGGACACAAACTTGAAAGCCCAAACGAGATGCTGAGGTAACTTAGCCTCCCCCTAACCCAACTCTCGACCGACACTACCAACAGCCCTCTCCCTCCCTACTAGGCCTACCTCTCCCAATTTTGCACATACACCCCTCTCTCTTCCTCTCTCTACTCCCCTAGTGATGACTGACGACAGCAACAACCTCTCTATCTCCCTCCTCCCTCTCACCCCTTGCCCTAACCACCTTATGGCTGGTCTCTCTCTCTCACTAATTAATTAGAAGTTAATTAATT